GACACCTATTATATTTAAGGGGTACATTAAACATCTTGACAGAATGCATATTTGCAATGTAGGTTTATTTCCTACAGAATACCTAACATGATGAAACACTAAAGAAGAAGCACAAAGAAATCTCAGTAGCTTTCTTGCATTAACAACTCAGTACAATGACCAATATCATTGGCAACTTATTCCTTTAGAATGATAACATACACAAGACTATATTCTCAACTGATTCTGAGTTAACTAAAAAGCTTCATCCAAAGAAGTGTGAAAAGAAGATGAAGTCTATCAATCTGTGACTTAAACACAACGAATATTTTTTAAAGCATCTCTAAAGAAAAAGACAGCACCATGAATACATTTTTTAAGCAAAACATTTAAAGATTTGAATGTTATTATTATCTGGTTTCTTCAACATGGATTTTCAGAGAAATATCTAAAATCTACCATTCTAGTGCAATTTTCTGCTCAACTGTCTAATCTTTTTTAAAAGAATCAAAGTAAGAAACTCATCATGTGAGTTTCTCTGAGCTCAAATCATCAACCTTATCTCAAGCCTCTCAAAAAGATACAAAATACTTTCCAAAAACTCAGAACCATTTTGTAAAATGGGAAGGTATATTATTGACCAATAAGAAACATTGAGGGAGAGAAAGTAAGAGAAAGTAAGGGAACAAAGTTAAGGAGATTTAAATAGTAGTGGACATAAAAGTAAAAATAGAAACTTTAAGGCTGAGAAAAACTAAAAAGAAATAAAATGGGCCAGAGCTCTACCTGAATCAAGTAACAGGGTGATAAGTTAAGAAAATACTGGGAGAAGTAAACTTAATTCTGGAGACATATCTCTGCCCTCATCCCTCACATATAGCATCCAACAACAGCAGTAGCTACTTGCAAGGGGAAGAAACCTACACAGGAACTTCACAGTTACACTGGGTGTGAGTGATAACAACCTACCATCAATGAAGATCAATGCAGGAAAGAGTATGTTAGAGATGATGAGGTTAAAGGCTGGCAATGTGGCTTACTATGCCTGCTAGCAAGTTTGAGGGTCTTCTATAGTTTTAGAGTACCCCAGTTTTATGAAAGAGAGAGGGAGAGAGAGAGAGAGAGAGAGATTGTCAAAATTAAAGCACGATGGTTGAGAAGAAAAAAATTAAGAAGTAAAAGAATTGCAAAGTAGTAAGCAAACCAAGTCTTTCACAGGACAAGCACAGAAAGACAAGGATAACTGGAAATCCTTGAGAGGCGATGGAGACAGTATAAATATCCACCTAATGAAAATTCTTGAATAAAAAATTTAATGAAGCTGGGTGCTGGTAGCTCACACTTGTAATCTTAGCTTCTTAGGAGGCTGAGATCTAAGGACTATAGTTCAAAGCCAGACTAGATAGTAAAGCATAGAAGATTCTTATCTTCAATAAGCTACTAGAATAGCCTTAAGTAGAGCTATAACCAAGTGGTATAGAGTGCTACCATTGAGCAACGGAAGTTCAGAGACAGTGCCCAGGCCTTCAGTTCAAGTCCCAGAACCAGAACACACACACACACACACACACACACACACACACACACACACACACACACACACAACTTAATGAAAAAATATGCAAAGCAAATCAATCAGAAAAATTTTCTAAAACTAGAACTAAGGACATTTGCTTTATAGTGAAAGGGCACTCCTCAATACCAAACAAAATTTAAAAATAGTAATACCTGACATCTGGTTATATTGTGGTAAAGTTTAAAAATAATATGAACAAGAAAAATCTTCAAAGCTTATAGAGGGAAAAGAAAAGCATAAGTTAGTTACTTGGAAAAACAACAACAACAAAAACAAAATGCTGAAACAAGGGCACAGGATGACCCACTGCAACAATGAAACTCACAAGACACCATATTGGAAAGGAGGGAAGGAGGGAGGGAGGAAGTGAGGGAGAACAGGATCAATGAATAAAGAAAGGAAAATAAGCAAAAGACATGAACAGGCACTTCACTAATGCATACACACAACTCACCAAACATGTGAGATCTTCAATAGTAATCAAAAATACAAAATGAAAACAATGGCAGCATTTTTTACAGAGATATAGCTAAAAAATTGCTAATAGCAAGGGTAGCTATAAATAGATACAATAAAATTTAACTAAAAATGTATGCTTTCTGTCCATCTAAAAAAAAATCCTTGCCTTTGTATGTATGTACAAAGAGTGTGAATAAGGATTCCTACAGAAACGTTGTCCTACTAATAAAAAATGGGAAACAACTAAAATGTACACCAACATGGAACATTTAATAAGATATGCCAGAATGAATGGTTTAAAGGAATATGACAGATCTAGTGCAATAATAGTGGCTTATGCCTGAAGTCCTAGCTACTCAAGAAGATAAGATGATGAGAATCAAGGTCCAAGGCTAGCCCAGATGGAAGAGTCAGAGAGAGTGTAACTCCAAAAAGCTGATCTGGAGTCATGGCTCAAGTAACAGAGTGCCAGCCAAGAATGTACAAGGCCCTGAGTTCAAATCTTAGTAAAAGCAAGCAAGCAAGCAAGCAAGCAAGAAAGGAACAAGACTGCTCTCTGACTACTGGCCTGAAATGGTCATAAACAAGAAAAAAATACCAAACTTTATATATAAAACAGGAAATTAGTTTTACAATAAAGTGTATCAACTTTATAGTACAATTACAAATAAGTAAAAATGTTTTGAAAGAAAATAAAAATAGAAAGAAAATAAATATTTGCACAACAAAAACTAGCAGGAAATATGTTTCTTCAAAATGTCAAAATGTTGGGATTTTTGGAAAAGCATCTTTGGCATTGAAAGAATTATGACTCTTACCAGGAATGTATGACCATTTAATCCTAATCGAGCAATCCAATTTGTGCCATCCTAAGAGTAGACTGAAAATCTCACTCATACACACACAGTTTACTGAGAAGTTGGTAGGAAAAAGAAATAAAAAAATGTTTGAAAACTGACAAGCTGGTTAAGAAAAATGAGTATCAGTTCATTAGTTACATATTCTCTTCCCAAATCCCATCTTTCTGTTAATAAGAGCTTTAAGGTCAGAAGCATTGTCAAAATGCCTTTGAGACCATGTGACTAACACTGAAAAGGGAAAGTGGATTTCAGGCAAAGGCAAAGCAGATGTGTGTTAACTGGCACTTGTGAAAGACAGCAGGAGTCAGATGTTCTTCCTTCCCCGTAGGGTCTTCTGGATCAATATTTCCACAACAGCCATGGGGATTTGGGAACTGGCCAAATGGCCAGGTGACTCAACATTGAATCTCTTGTCCCTCTAGGCAGTTTCTGTCAGTGGTACAAGTATGTACCAGAACACAGAACAGACACCCTTTAATAATTAGGAAAAGATACATACATATTAAAACCTGATTTTGCCGGGCACTGGTGGCTCATGCCTATAATCTTAGTTACTCAGGAGGGGTGCAATTGAACGCTAACCCAAGCAGAAAAGTCTGTGAGACTCTTGTCTTCAATTAACCACCAAAATGCTTGAAGTGGAGATGTTGATCCTGGTAGAATACCAGACTTGATTGGAAAAAACTACAGGACAGCGTCCAGGCCCTGAGTTCAAGCCCCAGTAACAGAGCAAAATCTGTTTTGTTTTGTTTTGTTTTTAATTAAAGTGTTGACTAGCAAAGAAAGCTAAAGGAAGTTGACAAGAGAACAAAGCCTGATTTCCTCATTATAAAACCCAAAGTTTTGATTTGTGACCCTAAACTTTGTGAGATGGGTAGGTCCTGTCTTCTACAGTCCCTTGAGGTAAGAAGTAAACACTTATCTTTAGCACATATGCACTAAGACTAAGCAGGAGTATTTTTTCTTAAACAGAAATGGACCATGTAGGACACCAGTGGCTCACTCCAGTAATCCTAGGTGCTCAGGCAGCTGAGATCTAAGGATCGCAGTTCAAAGCCAGCCAACTCAGACAGGAATGCCTAGAGACTCTAACCCCCCAAAAGTCAGAAGTGGAGCTGTGTCTCAAGTGGTAGAGTACTAGCCTTAAGCCAAAAAGCTCAGGGACAACATCCAGACCCTGAGGTTAAGCCTCAGTACTGGTATGCACGCGCACGTGCATACACATACACACACACACACACACACACACACACACATACATACATACATGAAATTAATCTCAAAATCTTCTGGGATCACAGGTCTTTGTGGAACAAGATGAAGGAGTCACAAGACCTGCTCTGTTATCAACCGCTAGGCACTTAGAGTAAACTGATTGACTTCCTGATTAAAATTTCAGTGAACACAGTTTAACACACCTGAACAGGTATCCTAAAGGAATATGTCACAGAACTATAACCAGAACACTTCAATTTTCCTTCCTGGCAACCCACAGCTCTCACACGGAGCTGTAATCGTGCCATAAGGTGCCCTTTGCAATTCTGGAGATGGAAATGCTAGAGAGACAAGTAGGGGGAACCACAGTAAAGTAGGAGATCCTGAACCAAGCCATGGGGACAAGCAGGTGTAAGGACAGATGTAGGGCATCAACTCAAGAGACACAGACATCTGGCAATGAAACAAGTTTAAGGGAATGTGCTGGGTTGAACTGCTTTTGTTTGCAACTGCCAGAAAACATTCGTCATCTTGAAATCATTCCTTCTACTAGCCCGGGTACCAATTAAGTGTAGATGTGACTGGTGAAGGGCTATGCTCTTACAACTTTTGGGATGGATGGATGGATGGATAGATAGACAGACAAATAAGGAATTAACAGTGTACATTTTTTCCTCTGAGCCCTTTAAAACCAGTCATTCCAAATCAACATGTGACCTGCAAAAGAATATTTAGTAAAATTTCTCCCAACTGACATCTCCACACCACACAAATGTGGTGTGATTCACCAGAGCCATCCTCAGACACTGTCCACAATCTGAGGAGTGGTAATCTTCCCAGACTCTCCACCACACTAAGGCAATTAGAGTAATTAATAGCAGCCAGAATGCATTGATTTAAAAATAAATTACCACAATTGGGTATCTGCAGGTTTGCCAGGGGAATATTCTTGCTGCTTTCGTTTAGGCAGTACAAATCCTGAGTTTCTGTACTGGATTTAATTTCTTGGAGTGTCTTGATCCACATAATTTCACAGGAGCATGTGAATGGGTTGCCCACCAAGATCCTATAGGGAACAAAAGTGAAACCCAATCAGGCTCTTTTTGCAGGTTAACTACATTAGTGTTTAGGTAAGATTACATCCAACATACTGAATTCTTCCTAGCCAGCAACCTTTGCAAGTTATGTCCACTTTCAATATATCATAGTACTTATTCACTCAATTAACTAATAATTACTGAGCTTTTGTTATGTGCAAACCACAGTGAAGAAGAAGGAGGAAAAAGATGATGTCCTACAGAATCATGGGGAACACACAACATGAAATAAGTGTAATGTGGGATAGGCAAGAATATCTCAGGAAAATAACACATAAATCTTTTTTACCATTGTTCTTATACAGCTATTAGAACATGCTGCTACTGGTGGCTCACATTTGTAACCCTGAGATCAGAGGATCAAGGTTCAAAGCTAGCCTGGGCAGGAAAGTCCATGAGATTCTTAGCTCCAGTTAACCTCCAAAAAGTCAGAAGGGGAGCTGTGGCTCAAGGGGCAGAACAGTAGGCAATGAGTTCAAGCCCTAGTGCCAGGTACAAAAGACATCCACCAAAAAGCCAACAATACGTTTTCAGGAACTTATTGCTGACAAGGCTAGAGAGTTAAAATTTGTCATAATAAAAGTCCAAACTTCAATGGGGAGCAGAATCATTTTTATCTCAATTTAGAATCTAAGATTGAAGTACGAACTGCAGGAGATTGGCTTTTCCAGATTTCTGTATTACACAATCAGAGTCCATTTTGTCTTAGCATCCAAGTCCATTTTATTTTATTAGATAAAATATGCTAGAAAGTTGAGAGAAAAGATGGTAATAAACTGCAAACCTCCTTTGCACACATGCATGTATGTGCACATGTACACACACATGCAAGCACATGTATGAACACACAGACTCCAAACTCAGTATCTCTGAAGACCAGACAACTGAACTTCAGCCTGAGTGTGTCCACTGTGGGAGGATCTACAAGGAGAAAGCCATCAGCATCTTGATCTCAGCCATGCTGCCTGGACTCTTTGTGGCCTAGGATGGGTAAAAGAGGAAGTGGTCAAGAAGAAAACCACAGGGGGAAAAATCTTTAAATGCTTATTTATAATACTCAGTGGTCTATTTGAAATGAATTCCATTTATGGTAATGAGCCTTTAAATGAGGCCATTTAAAATTGTTACATAGACTGCTTGGCATTAACCACAATACTTTGCTGAGGATAAGAATGGGGCTTTACAACACCATTTGCTCCTGTGGTTTTCCGGTTGAGTTCTAAGAATCTCAGGGATCCCCGGAGTCTCTTCTGGGTGTTTATTTAGGGAAAATGTAGTCGTGGTAGACTGGCTTGATTTGCGTCTTCTTAATTACCTCCTACTATCCCACACATATCAAAATAGCATGTGTGGCTATAAGATATAGAATATAACATAGAAGAGACCCACAAGAAGTATGGGTAGTCCAAGTAACCCAAGATGTTTCTGAATCTATGGAAAACTAAAGTCTTTATTAAAAAGAAGGGCATAATTAAATCAGCAGAAGGATGCTTAACTTATGAATATAGCAGAGTTCGTAGGAGCACAGGATACTGCACACAGCTGGAGATCCCTCCTGCTCACTGTGGGAATGCCTTCCCCAGCGGTCAGTACAACACTTACACATCTGTTTAGGTTTCTATAGCTACTACTGGAGGAGAATTGAATCCTTGACCTAGAAACTTTTCTCTTTACTTTCCCAAGGCCTAGTCATTCTGATAAGTAAGAGGCACACAATTAACTCTTGTCTGAACTGACCAACTATGTTTGCAGGGACATGAATTTGAAGTTTAAAAAATCCTAATTTTTAATCCATTCAGGATATGTGACACTGAGTCCCTCTAGTTGGTCATGTTTATCCCTACGTCAGAAATGGAGAAGGCACAAAAAGACAAAGGTCACATGTTCTCATTCGCAGGTAAGAACTAAGTACAATGTCCTCATCACACAGGATGTAGAGGCTGGAGAGGGTGATGGGCAGAGGTGTAAAGACAAGTTGGTGATTAGATACAAAACTAAAGTTAGACAAAAGGAGTGAGTCATAGCGTTCCATAGCATAGTAGGGTGATGGTGGGTAACGGTAATTTATATTTTAAAATAGCTGAAGGAAAGGATTTAATTAACAACCCAGAAAATGATAAATGTTTAAGATATAGCAATCTCCTTGAGTTGACATTCACATTATGTGCATGAATCAAAATATTATACTGTACCTATAGATCATGTGCTGTTAAGTATCGATTAAAAGCTGAGCACTGGTAGCTTATACCTGTAATCCTAGCTGCTTAGGAGGCTGAAGTCTGAGGGTCACAGTTCCAAGACAGCCCAGGCAGAAAAGGCTGTAAAGCTCTTTTCTCCAATTAACTACCAAAAAGCCAGAATTGGAGGCATGGCTCAAGTGATAGAATGCTAGCCTTGAGCAAAACAGTTCAGGCATAGAGCCCAGGTCCAGTACACACACACACACACACACACACACACACACACACACACACACACACACACACACGTCAATTAAAAATAATTTTTAATGCTATGATAAACATAGTTGTGCTGGTAGCTTTAGTATGGCCTTGTTTGTGATTGTTTAGGTAAATAGTAACCAACCCAGATACCCCTCAGTAGATGAATAGATGAAGAAAATGTGATATATATATATATATATATGTATATATATGAATTCTATGCCTCCATCAGGAAGAATGACACCACCTCATTTATTAGGAAATGGAATGACTTAGAAAAAAATTATATTAAGAAAAGTAAGCCAGACCCAAAGAAACATAGGTCCCATGGTTTCCCTTATTTGCAATGACTAGTATATGTCTAGGATAACCTTACCAGACAAGTAGAAAAGGTCAAAAGCTATGCACATATGATCATACAAGATGGTGCTAAGCAAAATGAACCCCCAAGATAGAGGCACAAGAGGTTTTATCTTTCTTGCTGTTGTTTTTAATGTACTTATAATGTACTATGTGATTTCTGCTAATGACATCTTCCAGTCTACGCAATTTCTCTGTGCGTAGCTTCAGATTTCCCTAAGATATTCCAGGCAACAGACCATTTAAGCAAAAGTCTCTTCCTAACCTACAAAGGCCATGCCCTTCCAGGCCCACGTGGTGCCTCACAATGGCTCTGTCTTAGGGTGCTTTTGAGCTCCTGACCATGGGAATGATAGCAGTTCATATTTGCTTCATGGAGATAAGACCAAGAACTGAGCACACTTGGAAACACTGGCTGTTAGTCATCAACACATTTCAATGTTTTCCTACCATTTTACAGCAGAGGAAATTAGGACATAAGGATAAATATTGATGTAATGGCAGACCTTGAAGAACAGCTCACAAAGATGGGTGGGTAAATAGAGAGGACAACCTCTCCACTGTTCACTGCACCCTAGCTGGCTCTGTGTGGGCAAAAGCTGGGAAAGTTTATCCAACATAATTTCCTCTTTCATGCATTTACTTTAGGGACAGGGTATTAGGATGAGCCAAACCTAATAGGAGGTCTAAAGCCACTTTAATGCTAACCTCCTGCTTTTTCTCCTTTCCCCTCCATTAGCAGACAAATTATTGCCAGGTTCCAATAGCTCACTCCTATCATCCTAGATAGGATCTCAGGAGGCTGAGATCTGAGGTTTACAGTTTGAAGCCAACCCAGACAGGAAAGCCCATGAGAAACTATTCTCCAATTAACTACCAAAGAAGCTGTAAGTAGAGTTGTAGCTCAAGTAGTAGAGCAATAGCCTTTAGCAAAAAAAAAAAAATCTTAGGGACAGCTCCCAGGTCCTGAGTTCAAGACTGAGGACTGAAAAAAAAATATTACTGTAAGGGAAACATCCACACTCATCATCAATAATGATTGCATCATCAATGAATTACTCTTGAGATTTTTGTTTTCAATGATTAAATCATGCTAGAATATAAGAATAAGAGACCAAATTTGATTAAGATGCATTGTACTCACAAACTGATGGGCTAAATTGAAATGCTTTTTACAACTAAAGATAATAAAATATAAGAAGCCAAGCTTGAAATGTCATTTTAAAAGTTTTTGTAAACATAAATTTGCAACAGCACTTATTTTTTTTAAACTCACTTATCTTTTTCTTCAAAACACACTTTTCCAAATATCACACAAAATCAGTACTTACAGTTCAGACAAGTCAAGGTGACGGAAATGTTTTCTAGACAAACTCGTCAGTTTATTTCGGGTGAAATTGCTGAAAGAAATCAAATACATTGAGTGTGAATTTAAAATGCTATAATTTAGGAATGATGTATTCAAACAGAGATGTTATTTTTAAGATATGATTTATTTAGATAATAGTACATGATTTACCTACAGCCAATCATCTTTTTCTTTCACCTGGACTAATAGCTTTATTTTTTTCCTTGCCTCTCCTACAAGTCCCTGCTTATTGAGCCAAGAGAGAATATTTTTGACATCGTCTATGTTTAAATCCCTTTGTTTTACTCAAATGCTTCTGTTTCATATGTTGATTGAGAGTCAAGTTACATGCCTCCTAAAGATCCTGATTTTTTTCTGAATAATTAATAGAAAAACAAGTAAAATAAAATTGACAAGTATAAACTCAGGAAAAGAGGATGCTTTAAATCTAGACAGCATCATAAATGTTTTTAGATTACATGGCATACATCACTCTGGTGGTAATTAATATGTCTTTATAGGAAAGAACGCAGCCTCTAATTGATTAATTCTGCTGCTGATGTTTATAAGTGGCCTAGATAAATGAGTAATTCCTTGACAAGAATAAGAAAAAAGCCAGGCACCGGTGGCTTACACCTATAATCCTAGCTAATCAGGAGGCTGAGATCTGAAGATTACAGTTCAAAGCCAGCCCAGGCAGGAAAGTCGGTGAGACTCTTATCTCCAATAAACCACCAGAAAACTAGAAGTGGCGCTGTGGCTCAAGTGGTAGAGTGCTCACCTTGAGCTGAAGAGCTCAGGGACAGGGCCCAGACCCAGAGTTCAAGCCCCACAACTGACAAAATAAAAAAGAAGAGGGGAAAAAAAGTCAGGTAAGGAGTAAGTCAGATTTGATCTTAAACGAGTCTTGCAACATGCAAGACTAACCTGTGAAAAGATAGAAGCTTTGTGATTAAAAGGTAATAATGAACTTCTGGCATGATCTAAATATGCAGGTTTATTGACTAAATGGAAGTTTCCAATGATCATAGCCACAAGATTTTAGGATAGGAAATTCCTAACCATTACCCTGGCAAGTGATCCACTTGGTGAATTTGTTTATGGTTTGGATTTATTTAAAGCTATTCCAATACTTAAGCCTCTAGCCATGAATGTAAGTGACATGAATGTAAAGCAAACAGCAGCTTTCACAAAAACAGCCAGGCCCTCAATGTACCAGATGAAACCTATGAACTTCATCAAGTCTCCTTCCTGCTCAGAAAAGTGTCAGACTGGAAGCTGGACCGAACATGATGGTGAGCGTAATCCTGGCCCCTGTACCTCAGTCAAGTCTGTTGTGTCAGCCCAATGACATCATCAGCAGAAGTCTGATGGATCATCATCAGAGTGACATTAAAGGCATGAGCTAGAGCTAGTCAGTTGATTAAAAAAAAAAAAAAAACTAACAAACAATTCAGAATTCAAGAATATGTGTGTCGATCCAGTGGAATTTCCTCACTGAGATTTCCAGTCATCAGAAGCCAATGAGGACACCAGGACCCCTCCTGCCTCCAGTGCTGGCATCTTGCCTCACAGGGAATGTAAAGTGCTCCCCCACATGCAGACGCAATCCACGGGGACGTTGTAAAATGTACCCACATAAATCTTTCCTTTTGGAATGTGAATGAAGAATGGTTTCACTGGAGAATAATACACTGAAAAGTCAATCTGCCCGTCTTTCCCAGAGTCTTTAAAGGCTCAAGTGTTTTCTCTCTAATCAGAAACCTCTATCTTTGTGAGAAAACTAAGCGGGGAGGGAACTTTATTCTTCCAGAGAGAGACAGACACAGGGAAAGAAACAGAGATACAGAGTGACAGAGACAGAAACAGAAAGACACACCCACAGAGAGCAAAGATGGAGAAAGACACACAGACAGAGAGCAAAGATGGAGAAAGAATGCCCAGGTTCCCTGTGAGCTCAGAGCCACCCATCCCAGCAGCTGCCTCTGTGCAGCTGCCAACAGCATAGCACAGAACGAGGTCATGGGCCAAAGAACAAAATGAATTTTATGAACCATACTTAGTTTTGGGGCCAAAAGCCAAAAGGGAGGAAGAGGGAAGGAGACAAACAAACTCAACAATCCTCTTACTGTTTGATTACAGAACTTCGCTAAGGAGCTAATTAGCACCATTGGAAAGCCCCTGGAAAACACACATACTGGCCTTTCTCTCAGTTTGGGGTTTTTAAAGGCTAGGCAGGAAGTAAAGGCATTAAAAAATATATTCAGAGACCAGTTACCAGGGCTGTGAAGAGGCACCATGTGATGCTAAAGTGGACAGGGTAGGGCCAGTGGAAAGTACAAGCATGAGAATCCAATCTGAGCTTCTTTGAAGCACAGGGTGAAATACATTGTTGATGTACACATATTTGTATTGTTGGGAAATTCAAAGATATAATCTATGAATCCCAGAAGCGGAGAAAACCAGGTTGTTTGTTTAGTTTATTTTTTTATTTGTTGCCAGTCCTGGTGCTTGAACTCTGGGTCTAGAATCTGTCCCTGAGTTTTTTTGTGCTCAAAGCTAGTGCTCTATCATTTGAGCCATAGGTCTACTTTCATCTTTTTGTGGTTAATTGGAGTTAAAAATCTCATAGACTTTCCTGCCCAGGCTGGCTTCAAACCTTGATCCTCAGATGTGAGCCTTTGATGAAGATTATAAGTGTAAGCTACCAGCACACAGCAAGAGAACCAGCTTTTAACATACATTTATTTTTTGTCTGTAATAGGGCTTGAACCCAGGGCCTAGACACTGTCCTTGAGCTCTTTTTGCTCAAGGCTATTATTCTACCACTTTGAGCCACAGTACCATTTCTGGGGGGTTTTGCTAGTTAATTGGAGATAAGAGTCTCATGGGCTGTCCTGCTTAAGCTGGCTTCACACCTAGATCCTCAGATCTCTGCCTCCTGAGTAGCTAGGAGGAGAGGTGTGAGCCAAAAGCACGCAGCTTAAGAAAAATGTCTATAGCACTAATGCAACCCATTGCATTAAGAGTACAAGTACTCTTACATTGTAAGAGTACAATTTATATAGACAATTATGGAAGATCCAATCTCCAGGATTCATAATCATAAGTAGAGGCAGTTTAAAAAAAAACTGAAATATGGCATCAATGGCTCATGCCTGTAAATCTTAGCTACTCAGGAGGCTGAGATCTGAGGATCCCTTTTCAAAGCCAGCCCAAGAAAGAGGAATCAATTAGGCAGCAAAAAGGTGGAAGTGGAAGTATGGCTTATGTGGTGGAGTACTAGTCTTGAACAAAAAACCTAAGCAAGAATGAAAAGCCTGGAATTCAATTCCAGTACTGGCATGAAGAAAAGAAGGAAGAGAGGGAGAGAGGGAAGGATCAAGGGAGGGAGGGAGGGAGAGAGAGAAAGTGGGAAGGAACGGAGGAAGAAAGGGAGGGAGGGAGAAGACAAGAAGGAAGGGAGGAAGGGAGGAAGGGAGGAAGGAAGGAAGGAAGGAAGGAAGGGAGGGAGGGAGGGAGGGAGGGAGGAAGGGAGGGAGGAAGGAAGGGAGGGAGGGAGGAAGGGAGGGAGGGAGGAAGGGAGGGAGGGAGGAAGGGAGGGAGGGAGGGAGGAAGGGAGACAGGGCAGCTGCCTTAAATGACACTCTCCTCCCTCCTTGCTACTTTCAAAAGCACACTACTGGATTTAATTCCACATTTTTGCAAGTAAGAGCCTCTTTTATCGTGGGGATGTAGGAAGATTACTAACCGCTGATCACTTCTTCATGATTCCCTGAATACCTACTTGAATCCTTCTTCCTTCTTAACTAGCTACAATTATCAATCACTTTTACAGCTTCAACAATGATTGGCTTCCTATCAGCTTTTTCATAAGGAAGCCATCAGAATACCTGCTTCTCTTCAGTTTCCTATTTCAAATGACTTTGTTTTGAGAGACAAGGGTGGCTTTATGTAACTGCTGTACTTCACTAAAATATCCTCAAATTATTCTATCATATGTCAGTGCAAATAATATAGCAAGTCTTAATAAAATCATAATTAACCATGCAGCTTATGTTTCTTTGGATCTGGGTTACTTTGTTTAATACTATTTTTTTCAAGTCTATTTCCTTATGGAGCAACATCATTCTTTCTGATGGAAGCATAGAATTCCATTGTGTATATATATACCACACTTTCTTGATCCATTCATCCACTGAGGGACAACTGGGTTGATTCCATATCTTAGCTATTGTCTTCATGTTTTCCCTCATTTGTAATAAATAGAATATCTCTATAAATCTACAAGTTAATATAATGGATAGCAAGAGACAAATAATTACACTCAGACATGATTAATTAAATAGCATTCTAAGCATCACACCGTGAGAACAAAGGAGGATATACTTGGGAGAAGATCACAATGGCTCAAGAGCTATGTGCATATGACAATATAAAATGATGCTTATCAAAATGAACTCCAAGAAATGGAAACAAGAAGATTTTTTAATGTACTGTTTGCAGTTCTTTCTCTTTTTCCCTTGGTTTATCCCCTGTTGTCACTGTTTTTTTTTTTTAATTTCTATACACTTTGTCTTATATGTAAGTTTATCTGATTTGGGAAAAGGAAGAGAAATCACAGAAATAGTGGGACCAAGAGTGAACCAATTCAACAGTCACTAGACACTATGTTAGAAATGAACTTTACAACTTGGGGGAGAGGAGGTCCAGTGTGTGGGGGGAAGGAAGTAGGAGAAAATGAGGGTGAGGGTAACACTGTTCAAAAAGAAATGTACTCATTACCTTACTTATGTAACTGTAACCCCTCTGTACCTTTACAATAAAATTTAAATTAAAAAATAAAATATCTTTCATCCATTGAGATTATAAAAAATAAATAAAATTATAATTAATCATAGCACACTGTTCAAATCACAACACTAGAAGCAGCAATGTGGTAATACAGCCAGTAAAATATGGTTGTTGAGTAATTCAGGTCTAAGGTCATCTGTAATGAAAATACCAGTTCTTAAGTGTGGAGGTCATCAATTACAGTTCAGTAATTGCATTAAAGCATTTTGCTTTTATTCCTTCTATCCAACTTCTGCCTTGCTTATGCTATCAAGGCCTATGCAGACATCAGATTTGTACAGGCAAACGAACTCCACATAAGGTGCCAAGAGTGGCTCAGTGGTAGAGCGCTTGCCTTGCAGGCTCGAGGCCCTGGGTTTGATTCCTCAGCACCACATAAGCAAAAAGAAAAAAGCCGGAAGTGGCGCTGTGGCTCAAGTGGTAGAGAGCTAGCCTTGAGCTGAAGAGCTGAGGGACAGCGCCCAGGCCCAGAGTTCAGGCCCCACAACCGGACCCAAAAAAATAATAATAATAAAAAAGAAGGTGCCAAGAAACACTTAAATGAAATGTGTTAATAAAGTTCCCATGTTTTATCATGTTTTGTACAATGGTTTATATCTTAACTGTACAGACTTTATTTTAAGAGTGGCTTCATCATTCATGTCACCCATAAAATATGAAATCATGCTACCATCTTTATAAATTTAAAGTTTTTCCATAATGTTAACCCAACTCCCTGGACTATCTACACATTCTGCTTTAGTGAATGATTTCTTTAATAACTGGCATGGAAATCAGGCTAGGGTCTGTTCTCCCCAAGAAAAGAAGGAAGAAAACTGTGATAAGAAATGTTGATTCTGGGGCTGGGAAGGTGGCTCAGTGGTAGAGCACTTGCCTTGCATGCATGAGGCCCTGGGTTCGATTCCTCAGCACCACATAAGCAAAAAGAATAAAAGCCAGAAGTGGTGTTGTGGCTCAAGTGGTAGAGCGCTAACCTTGAGCTGAAGAGCTGAGGGACAGCGCCCAGGCCCAGAGTTCAGGCCCCATGACTGGACCCCCCCCGCAAAAAAAAAAAAAGAAATGTTGATTCTGTAAGTATATGGATGGCACAAATTTGATTTTCATTCTTGTTATAAGAACATGGAAGAAGGCTCTTCTATGTAAGTCCTACAGTTTCCTCAGGACAGTGATATGGAAATTTTAAAAAAAGATTATCCTTACTAATCATTAAAAAAAAAGTGGCTCACACCTGTAATTCTGGCTACTCAAAAGGCAGAGATCTAAAGACTGTGGTTCAAAGCCAGCTCTGGAAGGAAAGTCTGAGACTCTTCTCTTCTACCAGAAAACCAGAAGTGACACTGCAGCTCAAAGTGGTAGAATACTAGTCTTAACCAAATGAGCTCAGAGATAGCACCCAGGCATTGACTTCAAGCCCCATGTCCAACCAAAGAAAAGAAAAGAAAAGCCAAGTGATGTAACATAGGTTAAAGCCCTAAAGGTAAAGTGTAAAAGTATAGACTATAAGACATGGAAGGTTATTGCAAAAAATAATTTAATCACCAAAAGCAGAGCCAATGAATAAATACAGGTAATAATCCTCTGGCAAAAGTTTGCATTGAAAACTCTGGGCACAGAGGACACCATTCTCAGCTTAGGCACAAATATTATTCGTTCTTAATGACAAAATTTCTCAGGAAGCTCACAGCCGATTGGCTTAAATGCTATCATCTAGAGGATTTAGCAGCAATCTACAATTACCACCATCTCCAATTTTCATATTTCTATTAGAGAAATCGTCAATATGACTTTGGGGAGAAACATTTCCTACTGTTAATAATAGAACCTTGAGCAACTCCCTTTTTTTTCTCTCCATTTTTATTATCCCATGACAGAGAATGTTGAGAAAATGAAGGTCCTTTTTGTAGGAGGAAAAAGCATCAGTAAGTTTCAGTTCTCTAAGAAGGCCAAGACCAAGTCATCTTCTTTCAACTCCACTAGTTTGACATCTTCCAGAAAGTATATCTCAATTCCAAGGAAAAGAATCAAGGACTCTGTACAAGGACAGAGTTTTCACATCAGACTCCTTGCTGTGGCCTATTGCTCGGTCCAAGATGGAAATGGCCCAGAAATTCATGAAAGGGAATAAACAGGCTGTTCTAAATGCCCCTGTGAAGCCATTCAGAAATCAAACAAAATCAAAGCTAATGTTTCTCAGCTATTATCACAGCTATCCTAACTTTCAAAGAGGAAGCTTAGAGTGGGAAAAGAAGGAAAATAAACAGGAGAGGGAAATATTACATCAATTGGGTCCTGGGAAGCAAAACAATAAATCTCTACTTACATGTGCTGCAGGTTGCTGTTTTTCAGAAATGCTTTAGAAGCCACAAATTTTAATCCAGAGTCCACAATTGTCCTTTAAAAAAACACAAAATTGCATGAACATGAGAACTAACCAGTGAGTGCTGGCCTGCCCCAGTAAAGCCCAGGAAATATTCTCAGATAATATACATCAACCCTGAATACTCACAGATTTTTCAATCCCACATAAGCTTCAACATCATCTTCATTGATAATTTCTAACCTCTTCTGATTGGCAATGAAACTGTAACAAAGCAGAAAGGGAAATATCAGTAGAAAATAACATGAAATAATAGGTAACTTCCATCCAACCTCAGTAAGGTACCCAAGGAAATCCTTCCCAACTACCCTTAGCTCTGACATTTTATTTAATCATATATATAGCAATTAGCAAAATGGAGATTGATTGAAAAGAAACCATGGCTGACCAGGTTTTTGTAGTCAATAACCAGTTCACTGGGTTTCTTTTCTGTTTTTAATCTCATTTTAACCACTATTTTTACCTACTAAGTTTCATTTTCCTTTTTCCTTTCACCAGAGGACAAGGGAAAGTACATGGAAATGTATCTACTACTTTTCAAGCATGTTCTATTTTATGAAAATAGCAACAAGAATCCCAGTGTTGTCACAACAAGGGGAAGGTCCTATCTTTCCTCATATTCAAGGTGAAGTCGCTCCCTCCTTTGATCTCACAAAAGTTTGAAATTTACTGCCCTCCACCCTCAAACTACCTCTCTCTTTTCCTAACCCAGCATCATTTCTTTTGGCCTTTGTCAATAACTAGTCCATTATTTCCACTGAGCATTTCACAAATCCCACCTCACCCTAATACACTTTCTGTAGGAACCCACCTCTCCTTTCTATCCCTAAACCCTTAGAAGTAGACTCATAATCTTAGCTAGACACAGAACTTTATCCCTTGGGTTATGATGATTAGCTAAGTGATGTATGTGTGACCTCAGTTAGACCAGTGAAAATTTTCCTGAAGATTAAGCAATCGAATGTTGGGAAAAACATACTTTATCTTGGTCTGTGGGATCATAGGTGAAGAATTACACAGACCTGGGATTCTCTTTTACTTTTTTGGGGCGGGGGCCAGTTGTGGGGCCTGAACTATGGGCCTGGGCGCTGTCCCTCAGCTCTTCAGCTCAAGGCTAGCGCTCTACCACTTGAGCCACAGTGCCACTTCTGGCTTTTTTCTTTTTGCTTATGTGGTGCTGAGGAATCGAACCCAGGGCCTCATGCATGCAAGGCAAGCACTCTACCACTGAGCCACCTTCCCAGCCCCAGACCTGGGATTCTCAAGAAGAAATTTTCTATCATAGAGAAGAGATTGTCCTAAAATAACATCAGCATATAAAAGGAAAATGAGCTAAATTGATATAAAGAGAAATGGGATCCTGAAGATACCACTTGAGCCTTTGAATCTAGCCAAATGTCACTAATGTAAGGTTGCTCTGGATTTTTTAGTCAAGTCACTAGTAGTACATATATATATATATATATATATATATATATATATATATATCAACCATGCCACACAATATTCAACGTATATACAATATGTAAAGTATAAAAAGACAATGGCGATGAAGTTTGCCTTAGAAGAGAAGAGCAGTTCTGGGATACAGAAACTTACATTGCTAAATGATTTATTTATTTAACAAAGAGTTAAAATGGTGACAAATATATTAAACAAAGAGATAATGAGAGAATATAACATCTGCTCTTCTCTGTAGGAGAAATGAAACAATGACAAGATTAATGGCAGTAATTTGGAAAATCTCTAAAATAACTAAATAAATAAGAGTAGGTAAATTTGCTGAGGGTACAAATCACACCAAAGAGAAATAATTTTAAAAGGAGCCACACCAGCCTTCATATGTTGCATAAGAAGAAGGAAAAGAAGGAGAAGGAAGCAGGAAGAAGAGGAGAAGCAGGAAGAGAAGGAAGAGGAGAAAGAGGAGGAGGAAAGAAAGGAGAGTCCAAGATGACAGGATTCCTTCTCAGTAATGCTGGTCCATGCTGATGAAAGAGCATGAAGAATGACTGTAAGGTTGATAACCAGCAATTCCCCTTTCTCTTCCCACATGACACAGAAGGGAATAGAAAATTCTAAGACTTGAACTGAAGGCTCAGTTTTTCAACATCAAGTTTTTATGAAATATTTCAAAACCATCATAGTTTAGCAACATTTCCCAAGAGTCACTGTGTCGACATTTTCAGTGGAAATGCAGTGTCCCCCTCTTCCAAATTAATCTGTCAAGATGAACTGCATTTCAGAGAGTTCTCAATAATTTCAACCCTTTCTATATGTCATTGGCAGCAGAATGATAGAAAATACGGGGGGGAGGGTTCCTTTGGAGTCACAGGCAGGACTTCCAGATAGGCCTGTCCTTTTCCCATAGCCAAGTTAGTATGGTGCCTGTGATTGCTCTGAAATCACCTGAGAGTTTCGCATCTCTCTTCACATGGACCATCGCTGTGTTCTCCAAGTTCATGGCAAGTATACCTGACATTCCATAGGAATCTAATCAACATTCACAGTGCAAACCATTTATTTTTAACTTTCCTTCCAGTTTCTTATGTCCTTTATTTTATTTTTTACTCCTTTTTAACCAGATAATTTAATTTCTAAATTCCCCTGCTATTCACAAACATACAACAAGTTAATGAATAGACTGAAACCAAAAGAAGAAAGCAAGAGTGGAGATATCAGTGAGGCTGGGAATTGGGTTTATAAAACACATACATTGTTAGAAAAGGGACAGTTTCTTGATTCTAAGCTTTCTGGTCACCAATACTCAAGACAAGAAGAAGATAAATTTGGTCAGTGATAAATTCATAATCTGCGTGAGATGAAAGTAAGCCAGGAGTTAAGCATGGCAAAGCACAGCTGTTCTCAGATCTAAGGCCAAACAAAAGATTTTGCTGAAATAAACCATATGAAATAATAAAAATCATCATAGAGAATATTTCACTCAGTGTGGAAGAAGAAATATCTGGATATTTGTTTTTTCCTGGTCAAATGAAAAAGACCAAGAGAAGACCAGATTTGAAGATCTACAGCTGCTTCTCCACTGATTCCAAGGAAGGTCTCTGGCAAGTTTCTATGTGAGCTATAAATTGCTCATGACATCTACCCCTTAAGGAACTTCTTAGCTACCAGTATGTGAGGGATGGTGAGTTAGAAAGAAAGCCAGTGAATTTAATACTGACAATCCACAGAGGAAAATCTTAATGGCTACAACCCTAGGAAAAGCTACTCATACATATCATAGAGAATTGGTAATGTAAGATAAAACCATATTTAACATCTAACAATACAATGTATTTCTAAGGCTGTGAAGAGTTTTGTAGACTATTAGATAGGGTGTAACTTGCTATGGCTGAAGACTATATTGTACCTTGGAAAATTCTAAATCTGTACCTTTCATGGCCCAGATATTCAGCTTCTTGGGTGAGTTCTCACACATAGACAACACAAGGGTACAGATGCAAGAATAGTCACTGTAAAACATTCAATAGAAAATAGCAAGCAAAAACAATTGCAATCAATGGCAACCAAAAGCAACCCAAGCACATCACCAAGAAAGGGAAACATTGCCGGGTGCTTTGGGCTCATGCTGCAATCTTTGCTACTCAGGAGGCTGAGATCTGGAGGGTGCCAGTTCAAGGCCAAAGTGGGCAGAAAAACTCACTAGAGTCTATCTCTAATTAAACAGCAAAAAGGAGGGCCAGAGGCATGGTAAATGGTGGAGTAACAGCCTACCAAGTACAAGATTGTGAGTTCAGACCCCAGTACCACCAAATAAATATGTTAAATATATAAATTGAGTCAAATCTGTTTATTTGAAAAGAAACACATGTCCTTACTAAATCCAGGGAAGAAAAAGAAAAATTTTGCACTGATATATATGTATAATATAAAACAATTGCTGATATATAAATACAAAACAATTCAGGTAGAATCTTAAAAATATACAGAAGCCAGATGGACACCAGTGGCTCATACCTGCAATCCTAGCTAGTCAAGGAGCTGACATCTAAGGTTCATGGTTCAAAGCCAGCCTGTGTAAGAAAGTCCGTAAGACTCTTATTTCCAATCAATCACTAAAAAAAGCCACAAGTGGAGTTGTGGCTCAAGTGGTAGAAAGCTAGCCTTGAGTACAAAAGCTCAGGGACAGTGCCCAGGTCCAGAGTTCAAGCCCTAAGACCAGTTTTAAATATACATATATATATATATATATGAAAATGCATATAGTGTGCCATGCAATGTTCACATTATATGCAATATGTAAAGTATAAAAAAGCAATGGCAATGAAGGTTACTTTAGAAGAGAAGAACAGATCTGAGATAAAACTTACATTGTTAAATGATTTATTTAATTAAACTGCACACCTATTTCTTTCATGACAAGAGAAAAGATTTGCCAGAAAAAGACAAAATGTTACGGCATCAGCTCTGAATATAAGTACACCAAGTTATGTCATTATGCTTTCTGAATCCTTTTATGAAGAAGGAAGAAAGGAGGAGGAGGGGTAAGGAGAGGGAAAGAGAGACAGAGAGAACTAGAGGGAGGGGAAAAGGAAGAAGGCGGGAGAGGGGAAAAAAGGAACTAGCCATGCAAGTGAAATGAATACAAGAAAGCTAGACCAGAGGGCTTCTCCTAACTCAGTGGATGGCCTCATCTGAGTTCAAGTCACAGGGGTTGGAGTTTTTGGCTTTTTGGGTTTTTGGAAGTTTTGGGGCCACCTAAATGGCCAAGAGTCTAGCCTCTGGGCAGAAACAAGAGAAGTGCATGTTGCCTGCACTGCCCTCTCCTGGTGATTTCTGCCTGCCAGTAGGAGGGCCCTGGCTACAGGAAGGTGTCTCTAGCTCCCCCATCTCAGACAACAGTCCATCCTCAGGCTTTCCCCCCAGAAAACCATTCCTCCTCAGTTGCCTGTCAACAAAATGGGGAATTCTCAGGCCCTGATTAATAGAACAATCTCCAAAAGTGCTTTTCTTCCCTAAGGAAGCAGTGGGAAAGCCAGCATGTTGGCACAAGCCTGTCAGAAGTTTTTTTCTCCATGACAACCTTCAGCAACTCTGACCTATGCCCAAGGATTGTAAAGCTCAAGACTCAGGGAGTTTCAGCCTTCTAGCCTTCTAGCCTTGCCCCACAGAATGTCACAGGAGGTGAGCAGAGCTCTATTTATTTGCAGGGACAAAAGTATTTCTTCTCCTCTAACCAGCAGAGA